GTACTGCTCGAAGGTATCACACAGTATCCGTATTAACAAATGGAAAAATGTTAGTGGCTGGTGGATACAATAGTGATGGTGATGTGAAAAGTGCTGAATTATATCAACCATAACAAACAAATAAACAAAAAACATATTTTTGCTTTTTTTTCCCTAATGAATCTTGTTTATGAAAACTAATTGAACATTAATATTATTTTACTGTTCTAATAATCCATTTTTTCTTTCTAATTTCTTACGTATACCTCGTATCATATTAAATTCACCATACGAGGGTGTATAAAATGTGTATATGTAGAATGATTCAAAGTAATATTAAGGGTGTGGTGTAGGTGTGGGTGTGACAAGTTGCCATGACAGGATGTGGGTGTGTAAAGTTACCATGATATCGATATTTTCACCTAAGCAACTAGGATCATCAGATGGCACTCGTAACGAAAACCAAAATTCAAAACGAATTTTGTTCGAAGCTAAGTTGAATCTTTCTGTTTAATTCAAAAAATGAAAGACTAAATTCACAGTAGTGTGTAAAGCTACCATGATATCGATATTTTCACCTAAGCAGCTCTTATCTGGACCGTTTCAAATGACATATGTTCCTTATGACCTGGAGTAGCAAATGAAAGTACAATTTTTCCAGGTGTCAGGAATTAGTTAGAGAAAGAATTCTTTTGTCAAACTGGGTGTGGGGGTATGGGTGTGTTTATATTAGTGTATAATTAATTAGCTAGCAAGATCGGTTTCGATAAGTGCTTAAATTAAACTTATCAATTACTTTATGACTATAAGATCTGAATAAAGAATAACTCTCCTACTGCGAATACTATAGACAAAAGTTTTTTGAGGAAAACTCTTAATCATCTAGTAAACACATTAATATATTATCGGATAACTTGTATAGAAAACTAAGTACCCAATAAAATTTTAAAGAGATTCCCCAACTAATGGTTTGTATATAAATATGCATCTCAAGATATAGGAGTAGAAGCACTGAAGAAAGTAAAAAAGCTTCAAAAATACCTGTTTCGACTGGCGCTTGGATAATCACTTAACTATTGCGTGTAAGTATGGTTTGGATCGTCTACTATGTAATTTTAGGGATGAAAGGTTAATGGAAAACTTCGAAACAAATACTTAATAGAAACAGTTGTTTAGCAATGGTAATGAAAGTGTTAGTTTAGTTCAGAGATATAGTTGTATTTTTTTGTGAGAAATATATTGTACTTACAATGTTTGCGGCATTGTTGGTGCAGCAGTGAAAGCATAATGTTTTGTAGAAATTGTACGATAAGTACATATCTAGAATAGAAAGTTTAGATGTAATACTTGTGAATTCAAAACAAATAACTATGAAACAAAGTAAGGAGGTGACAAAAAATTATATAGTAATTATAATGAAAAACGAGTCCATAGGTTGAATAGTCTAATATCATAATTTGAATTATGACACAAAGAAGAAAATATAATATATGAAACATTTCACATAGTGCACAAAATAGGAATATGTAAATAACAATATTTAACAATAAGCAAGGTCTTAGTCTAAAGAACGATTATAGATCGATAACAAAAAAAAATAGAAAAAAAACCAGAAAGAAGTCTTTAGATTTTTTGATCAACAGAAAACATTTGTTTCATTAATGGAATCGTTCCTCTATTGTTCTATGAGCTGCTTCTGTGGTTGGTTGGATCCTGGTTAACATATCACGTTTAGGCTTCTTGTGTATTAAAAGACTTTGTAATGTACGATTCAGTATTGTACCAAGAATAAGTCGTGTATTTTTGAAATGTGATCCTGGATAAACATAATATTTTTTCCATAATTCACGATATTCTTTTTTGAAATCTGATAATGGTCCATTTTCAAATGTATAATGAAGATAAATTTGATCGTTATGTTCATAATTCTTTCTATTTTCAATCAAATGACCATTCACCTCTACTTTTGTTTTACTTTCTCTTCTTGTTGGTTTGTAAATTAATGCACTATGCAATTGTTGATATGCTTCACTATTGAGTTCAGTCCACACATTCATAACATCATGTTGAATAAAGGAATTTTTAAAATGATGTTGTATAAGGGTGGGTGGGGGTGTGGGTGTAGAAAAAGATACCAACACCCTCATCCACACCCACACCCCACACCCACACCCACACCCACACCCACACCCACACCCACACCCACACCCACACCCACACCCACACCCACACCCACACCCCACTGTTTAAAATTTGGTTAGAAGAATACTTTGATATTAAAGTTCTTTTATTTTCAATCCAATATTGAGCATCTAAAATATATATGTATATTACATTAAGACATACGTATTTAAAGACCAAATAAAAGTTTACATAATGCACGATGCAAAAGTCTTCGGAAAAATGTCGATCTACACAACTCAGCCGTTTCAAAAGATAAAAGCCTAATTTTTTTTTTATTAGAAAGAGCATGAAAAGTACAACAAAAAACTATATTTAACAGACTGAATACAGTCCATCTCGCCGCATAGACCAAAGCTTTTTCCGAACACCCTCCATCATGGCTTGCAACGTTGGTTGATCAAGTTCTTTTGCCTTTTGTTTGATCCTTCGAATCAAATGATCTGCATTTTTTGCTTCCCAGTTGTTTGCATATATTTTCTGTTCGAGTATAGACCAAACACGTTCAATTGGACGTCCTTGTGGTACATTTGGTGGATTATCATTACGAGAAATAAATGGTATGTTTTTTTGATTTAAACGTTCTTGCACAACTTTTGAATAATGTGAACTTGCCAAATCAGGCCAGAATAAATAATTTCCATCATAATGGTATTTATCGATAAATGGTATTAATCGTTTATTGATACATTCTTGTAAATATGTTTTTTGATCAACACCCAACTTGCTTTTGTGAACGTAAACGTCGGAAATTCCCTTTGTGGAGATGGCCATCCAAATCATCACTTTTGGTTCAAATTTTGCTTTCTTTCGAAATTTTATGTTTGGAGGAGTTGTAGCTGGATTTGTGGAATAGAAATAGCGATTGCAGGAGACGTTGTTTCCACTTAATGTAAAGTACTTTTCGTCGTCCATGATGATTTCACAATCAGTTAAAACTTTTCGATATAATTTTCCACAATTTTTCTTTGCTTGTTTTTCTTGTTCTTCACTGTTCATTTTGGAGGCTTTTTGACGTTTTCTTATAACCACCATCGTTCTTTTTCTAAGATTACGTGAAACTGTTGACTGATTCACGTGGAGTCGTCGTGCCATTGTTCGTTGACTTAAACCACATCGATTGTTCACCGATTTAACAAGATTAATTAATTTTTTGTTGGATATTTTTAATGGGCGACCACACCGTTGTTGATCTTTTGTAGTTCCACATTTTAAAATGCTTCTTTAATATATAATATATTGCACTTTGAGGAATATTTTGTTTTTTAAAATATTTTACCGTAGTTATTACGGACTTATTAGCTGAATCATGATAAAAGTTGCAAATACGCTGTGATAGTGCTTCTCTTTCGTCACGTGTCATTTTTGTTATTAATGAACAGGAACAATCTATTATATGTCATTCGAAAGAGGAAAGAATAAGCTATCAACTGATAATAAAATGTTCCTTTAACCTCACGTCCGTCAGTTCGAATTAGAGCTGAACATTTTTCCAAAGACTTTTGCATCGTGCATTACCATTTAAACTGCAAAGTTTTTTGTTTGATTTGGTTCGGGTAATAATTTTGTTATATCTTCTGGATGATATTCTGTTTTCTCTTTTAAAAGTATTGATAAACGATTTACTTGCCTTGAATGTATCCCAATTTAATTCTCTTGCTTTTTGGATTGCATACAGTTCAAGATCAGTATCATGAAGGGCTTCCTTTTCAATGGTTCTTTTCAGATAAAATTCGTCAAATATAAATGCTTTAATTTGTTTTAATTTTTCTAATCTTGTGCCGTCGTTTTCGATATATTCTCTAAATTTTGTAATATAATTCATGAATTTGATCTTTCTAAATCGATTAGAAATAGTTGCAAATCTGGCATTCGGATGTTCGTCAACCCATTCGATTATATTTTCCATTTCTTCTAATGTAAAACGATTTTTTAAATCAGAATGATCAGTCTCATCATAATCATCCATTTCATCGTCAGTGTCTTCTTCATTGGTCATATCATCGTTGCTCTCTTCTGCATCAGTCATTTCATCATATTCATCTTCAAATTCGAGAGTATCATAAGTATATAGCTCACTGAACTAGCTATCTTTAAATGACTTTAGAACTTGAAATAATCGTTCTGCAACAAAAATTTCATCGGTAGTTGTTGCAGAATTTTCAGATCCATATTCAGTTTGAGTCAAACGAAGAAGATGTTTGGCGATGTTCAATAAATTCATGGTTTTATTTCACGAGATAAACGTTTTTATTCGGTGGATACGGCAGAGAATGAAAAAGAATAATTCTTCAATAGTATATTTGATTTGTGATCTCTTAACACCAATCGCAAAGAAGCAGTCAAATAGACCACCAAGTGATGCATTGATGCACTTTAATTTCAAATATTGTATACACACGTCATTTTTTAAACATATCATATTCCTTTGTTTTCATTTCGATAGTATGGAAGTTTCCAGAAGACACTGAAACTAATGTAATCCTACTGCTATTGATAAATTTCAGAAAGATTCTTGTAGCCTACTATCGAAATACTCAGTTGATTGCATAAAAAATTAATGTAAATAGTTCTAATGTACCTATATACCCTAACCGGGAGGACCATAAAAATCGAATATCTTCCTTCAGGCAAGCCAACAGCAGCTAATATTTTAACCTTGTTAGTTTGGCGGTGAGAGCTTTCTTTTGATGCAAAAATATCTGGTCTTTTCAACTTACGACACAAACACCTCCATTGTAAGATCGTTACTGGCACCCTCAAATGGACTATCATTTGTGGGAATGTTGGAATAGAAACTTTGTAATGATCTATTAGAGTAGTCAATTGGTATCTCAATACATTTTAGTTTTTCTTTAAGATGGATTCGACGGTCCAAACTGAATGACAGTTCTTTTAAATCGTAAACTCTGTAAATAAGATCATCAATATCCTCGACCAGACGGTGTACCTGCACTTTCGAATGAAAAGAAATACGTTTCTGAAGATATCCTTCAAAAAACTCCTTACGTTTATACAATAACGCACATAAACTTTTTCGTTCTCCTATAATCTGCTGTAATTATAATTCACGTTGTTCCAATTGTTCTTCGAATAACATCCTTTAGAGAAAAGAACTCCAGTTGATACGTATACTTTGCTCATCATTTGCTTCGTCTAACACATAAAGAATATCATCATGTAGTTCAATCCAAAAGCCTTTTGGTAATGAATCATTATTAATTATCAATCGTTTTAACTGTCGACGGAACAATCGAATCCACTTCTTTTTCGACGAATCATGTTCGAGTAAGTGACTAATAAGGTTAGGAATATCAACAAGTAGAGTTTTTTTCATTGTCTGAAAGCTCTAAAAGCTAGCATGATGGTGCTTCTAATACTTTATTAATCGAATCCTTTGCTCGTGCGATAACTTCATCCATGATTGTTTTCACAGTCGTTGGTATAGTGATTCTGACTCTACATAAAGCAGAAAAAATAATTTATTGTGGTTGAAAATGATATTGTTAAAGTTAGATTTGATTTGATTTGTCAATTATGGATAATTTTAATGTTGATTTTTCTATCCTCAAAACTGCAGCATCTATGATGATGATACAAATTAGAGTTTTTGCATTTTTTTAAAAACTTTTATTTATTTATTTATTTCTATGTTTCCAGCGATATTATTCGTAACATGATGCTCATATATTCGTATGAGAATGAATTAAAAAATTTTTTCCTAAATAGTAGAAGAAGAAAAAGATATGAGAAAAGGAAGAAAGAGAGTACAGTGCATGTAATTAATGTCCATCTCAGAGTTGAATCGCCACAGTATTTGTTGGTTAACTTTAAAACAGATAACGAGGGATTATAAAAATTATTTCGAGTAGATATTGATCTATGTTTTACATAATCGACAAAAACTTCCAGTTATTTTCCTTGCGTAATACATTATGAGTCTTTTAGATAGTCTTAATCCGATTTGAAAACAATCTCTCTTCTTAATGATGGTATAATGCGTAGATAGTCTAACACCACCTCTAGCGATATTCGGAAAGTTATGAGAAGTTGACTGAAGGTTGTTCTATAAGGATCTTCGAAATATATTTTTTTTGTGTTGGTGAAAATATGTCATGTGAATATTTAGATACTCGAAAAACGATCTTATTTAATTGAAATCACTCACCAGTTATGCGGAAATGTGATAATTTCCTTAAAAATTCTTCTGTTTTAATATGAACGACGTTTGTAGTTGTCTATTTCAAAACGTAAAAATCCAGTATGTGTCCGCAAATATCATTCGTTTTACTGTTTCATGTGTAATACAATCTCTGTTTATCTTGCTTATCAATAAGAAGCAGTTTTACAATAAAAAGAAGAAAATAAAGGTTGCTAGGCCATACAGATGTATGCAATAAATTCATAAACCACTCGTCTTTTTTTTTTCGTTGTTTATCTAAATGGCTGTGAATGAAAAAAGAAGTATGAGTGCTTTTATTTTCATCAGAAAAATTGTTGAAACAATCAATACACACTTTTTAAAACAAGTTTAAAAATTGATTCTATTAAATATTTGATCATTCATATGAGCATAAATGTATACGAAATAAAAATGTACTTTTCTTTTGACTTTGATTCGGTCATAAGAATAAATTGGTGATGATGTCTTTCTATAAAATAATAACCAAACATTTCTAATTTTATTGATTACCTTTTTAGAGGTTGATTAAAGTTGAAAAATATCGACAAGAATAATGTTATACCGTGATTTAACCATTAAATCAATTTTTACACGATGTCCCAAAAGTGACCCACCAAAATAAAATTGCATATACCCATTGTATTTTGATGAAAAGAGCTGATTTTTTTCTTCATGATAGACAAGACTTCAAACCTTTTTATTAGTGGAGACAGTTCTGGGAGATATTTGATCTTTTTCAAGTTGATTAAATCATTTGGGGTACATCTATATGAAAAGAAGAATGAGCTAAAAGTGACTGTTAAATGTCACAGAAAATGAAAATATTATGATTAACTATTTCGAATCTTTATTCTTTCTAGTTGAATAGGATGAATTAATATTCATTAAATCTTATTTTCATAAATTCAATCATTTCTATTCTTTCAACATCAAATATGAACACAAACAGAATGAAAATATTTTTTTTCTCTTGTAACCTTGTTTACAAGCTTTCGTATTATCTCAAGAATTCGAAAGTGGATCGATGCACCTGATATCTTTGATTTCGAATGATTTATCTGCCTTTACAATGCGAATTTCATTACTCAGTTCAGTGTCAGAAGCAACATGAAGAGGAAGATAAAAATCAATGTCTTGTTCATTAATTACATAAGTTCGTTTACTGTCATGAGCAAAGAAAAGGAATAATGGATTATTGGATGAAAACGTCTCTTGAATCAAAAGATATAAAATGAAAAGGTGAAGAGAAGGCAGGTGCAGATATAAATGATGAAGAGAAGTGTGTGAATCGCCTAGAACATTCACTTTTTAGTAAACCTTATCAAAAATATGTCATCCATTTCATTTGTCTCATATTTCCAGATTAAATGGAAAAAAATCTTTTTCTTCTATCTTTGCAAAATAAAACAGAGATTGCATTGGAAGTATTTCATCATACTAGTAAATAGGAATACTATCTATACTTGAATAAAGCTGAGACATGTTCTCTTCCTTTCAATTTTTCTGCGAAAGACGAATGTATTATTCATTATTGTTATCAGCATTCTTGACAAAAGATCGAATGACAAACGAAATAAATATGAGTCAGTAAATCAATAGTGATTAACTGGACATCACGTCATTTATGACGACGATGATTCCGAGAATAATGCAATTTAAAATCGTTTTATATAAATCTCTATGAAAAGCTTGATAAAATACGGGTTATGAAGATAATGTCAGTAACTAATACTTTCTTCACTCTGTTATGTCTTGTAATGATGATTAATGGTGAACCGATTCTAAGAATAAATCAACGTTCCATCGCCGATGAACCATTAGATTCTATCGATCGTAATAATTATCATAATCTTATTCAATCGATATGGGTTGGTGTTGTCCATTCTACTCCTAGTCTAATCAATTATCAATGCGTTGATATTGTCAATACTGTTTTAGATAATGTTATTGAATGTTCAAAAAGATTAGCAATGACTCAAGAACTGATCGAAGAACTTTTTCCTTTATTAAAACCTATCAAAATGACGAAAAAGATTTTCAAATTATATAAAGAACTGGTGGAAGAATGGATGGAAGTCAATCACTATGTAGATACTTATCAAGTGTGTCTCAACACTGCAAAATTGAAATGGCGTTCACCAATTGAAATTGTTCTGTTAGATCTTTGAGCATTTCATGATCTTCTTAATTTGCAAGACTTTAATGAATTGATTTAGTTATGAAAATAAAATTTTTGATAAACTATGAAGAGTCTACCATTTTCAATAATGAAAAGCCGATCACCTGTTTGTTCTTTGACATCATCAAATCGAACTTTTTAATCGAGTTCTATCCCTTAGAAAGTATGACCTGAACATACTTTCTATCATTTCACGAATGTTATATGTTGATCGTGTTATTAATTTCCCGAGAATCATTTCATTTTCTCTTTGAGTAAATTCTTCATTTTATCACTATCATAAGAACCGTCATAAATAAGCTACAACAAATCGTGTTCGATCGATGTTCCCTAAACTTTATTTCGATTGGCTGAATTAAAAACCTGTATATTAATGAGTTTTATGTGGCGAATCACATCTCTGAAGCCTAATTCGCTGCTAAAAGATATCTCAATTTTACTGTAAGGGACTGTTTCTCGAAATACTAAAGGTAGACTTTATATTACCAATGACAAAATCAATATATCAGTTTAACTATTCAACTATGATCGCGTAGTATTACTTCTGCTACAGTTACATTTCAAGTAACCATTATGCTTATTGATAAATATGGGCCAATCGCAGGTAATTACCAAAATCTTTATCAAGTAATTATTCAATTCGGTTTGATATTTATAAATTGATTACATAAATTTGGTTCATATTGCTATTTAAGACATTCAATTTGTCAATCAACAAATAATCCATGCCACCATAATGGCATTTGTGTATCAAATAATGATTGAATTGATTTAACAGCATTTATTTGTTTTTGTTTAGAACATTATGTAGGTAATTCCTAATAACTGACTTTACTTTGTCTCCGATTGATCTATATAGGAAAGACAAAACTTTTTGAATATTTCTATGAGTAATAATATATCTTTTTCAAATCGTATCCCTACTATTATAGTTATTTTTGCTTTGGAATCAACAGGTGGACTTTACCAGAGACGATTATTATATAAGAATGTTTTCTTACCTACTAATTTGAAAGCACATGGACCGACGCAAAGCTATGCATTTATTTGAATGTTTGAAAGTTATTCGAAAAGTTTTTATTATATGATTGTCATACCAGGCAGAAGACTCTATTCGATTTAAAATACATCTGTTATATATTCAAATTTATGTCGCAATATCAGTGTGGTATTTAATAATGAAATAATTTTATTTGAATATCCCTATTTAAAACATTTAAAATTATATCATCTTCCCTGTAAGAATGATTCAGATTTACGATGTTTTTTTTATGAATATCGAATGTGTCTTTATGTTAAAGATCGTAATAGTGCTTGTTTTATTTTTAATCATGAACAAAATAATTGTGATTATTGTGAAAATAATGGTTTATGTTTACGAAAAGATCCCAATGAAAATCAATGGGAATTTATTTTGTCTATGTCCCGAATGTTCATTTGGTACATTATGTCAATTTTTAACTGGATCTTATTTTATTACATTAGATATTTTAGTTAGTATAGATATGAATACAGGAAACAGGACTTTGCATGGGACGCCGTGAGACGACACTCTTTTGCAAAATACTCTAAGAGAAGATGTGATATAACAGTTTTTCCAAGAGATTCTATGAACTAAATGTCGCTCTTTTTCATTAAAATGACGTTTTTTGACGTAGATGATTACTTTTAGAAAACTATCATATATTTTAGTCGACATTTCCAAAAGATTTTTTACCAGTGAGCATAACTTCTAAAAGTAATCATCTACGTCAACAGAATAAAACTGAAAAAAATATAAAAGAAAAATACTTTTATACTACACTGCAATAGACTGAAATTATTATTAATTTAAACCAAATATAATTTTAATCATTGAAAAAGTTTTGGTTTTGGTTTATTTCTATAAAATTGAATATATGTCACATCATTTAGAAAACGTCGTTCATATAAAGAAACAGCCAATTTATTAATAAGTTTAATTATTCGACTTAGTCTATAATAAAAAATTACAATTATGATAGTTCAATCAAAACCTAAAGCGAAATATTAAATTGTGATTAGATGATGAAAAAATCAAATGAATGTCAATAAATCTGAAAAATAATTTATTTCACATAAATTTCTAAGGGTTTTCTCTGTAAGTCAGGTACGCACGAGAACAGTGGTTGTATTAATAAGACAATGCTCGAAACATATTTGTTCCTTAGATTTTCTCTTGCTATTTTTATTGTTACGTGTATAATATTTCCATAAGAGTCCTTTGGATTTGGTCGTCAGAAGTGAACCAAACTTCATGCCACAATCCGTGTTTCACCGGTGTAGACCAATAATGTGAGGGTGCTTTTGAAAGATGTTGTTTGTGGTCGAATTGAGTTTCATTTAATTTGAAAGTCATTTTTTTTCTTTGATTCTTTTTATTTTTTATTGTCTCTCGATTAGTTATCAGTCAATTGAATTCAAGACTGATCATCGTTCGCACTTTTTTGAAAGAAAGATAGGCATCTTTCGAGGATTTTTTTAAAAATTTAATATTATGTTCTGCTAGTCTTCTAAATGAAATTCATCAAAATCAAGAAGCAAAAAGCAATAAAGTGAGACCTCTAATTACTGTCGAATTACTGTAGAATTGTTTTCTCTAGCATTTTGCTTTTTATCTGAAAACAGTTCATCTCTCACTATTTAACATATTATGATAAGCATGCCGGAAAAAATCTTGATCGTATTCACAGCGCAAAGATTTTATCGTATTGATAAATGGTGGAACAGTCTTCTTTTAATTTGTTTGAAGAAACTTTTACCTATGATAAACTTGATCTTATACATTTTTGACTTATTATTATATTGAGTTGATCGTTTTGATTTACCTATGATTTCGTCATGAAATGATAGTCTTTAATAAATGCAAAAATAAAGGAGAGTATAGTAGATGTGGAGACTTTTACTAAATACTTGAACGTCGAAATTTTTCAGTGTCTTTCTGTTACATTGAAAGCAGAAAAATCTTTATGAATTAAATGCGTTCATCTTTGCGCGATAAAGAGATGATTATTATTAAACAATCTTGGGAATATTAAATTGAACAGAAAATATTGAAGCTCCATTAAATAGATTATCATTGATAAAAGGTGACCTCGATTGATACTCTTTCTAAACCATGAAAATATTCAATTAAAAAGAACATCGTAAAAAAAAAAATTATTTCAGAATTTTTTTTATTTTTGAGTTTCTTTTGTATCATGTTCAGATCAATAACGCGCTAATTTACATCAATAGAAACTATTCTATTTTGTAAAACAGAAAATAAACCTTTTAAAAAAGACAGATCTGATTTAGCAAGCATTAAAAGAGTTATTAAAATATAAAAAGGTTTAATATTGATGCAAAACTCGTTATTAAACACTAGCTTACAATATAAACAGAGAAACATTCTAACCAACACATTACTAGAGACAAATCATATATTCTAAGCGTATGTTTTCCCTAAAGTCTCAATGTTATTTTACAAGTTTTTTCGGTTAATAGCATACGAAAATCGAGTGTAGTTTTCTTAGGAACTGAGAATTAGACAATTGTTTTCTAGTCAATATCAGTTAATAATTTCAAAATCAATAATGATGATAGTTCAGCAAAACGAACACGATTTATGAGAATGGAATTTTGTAATTTCTTATGACGTATTTATTGTTTGACAGTTATTCTATTATTCTAAGATACGGTTAGAATCCAATCAGCAGAATTAACATTATTATTTATGTATTATTGAAAATATTATTTTTCGTTGTCATAATTGATTTTTTTATCTTAAAAAAAAATCAGAATACAGAACATGGAAAACTAAAACTAAAAACGTTAAACAAGAGTGTTTCTATTATAGTTTATATATTGTACTATCGCGTCCGTATAGAATTGAGAAACGAAAACAATATTTTGGACACCCGTAAAATATGGACTTTTTATCTCATTGGCTTATTACTTCTAACAGAAGTAAACTTATAGACTTTGATTCACTTCTGTGGACCTTGGATTTCATTCATTTCATTTCATTTACATTAAAATATTTTCGATAAATTAAAAATTTTCTCGTAACCAATAAATTTTCAGTTTCTGATTTGTGATGAAAACAAATTTTTCGATCATATAGATGACGTAACTGGAAAGATATTTGAAATTCCTTTAATTTAAAGTTGCTGCAAATAAATACAGCCTCTGATATTAAGTCGTTGGTATTAGCGTCAAGAAATAGAATGTTTGTATGATAATGATTAAAGCTCATAATCTTGTTTTTCATCTTGCCGAATAATCATCCATCTTTCAAAATTTCAGAAGAAAACAGATGTTCGAAATGATTTAATCATTGATTACATTATTACTCAAATGATCAAAAACAAATATTGCAATATATTCAATATTTTTTTCAACATATACATGCAGCTTCAGTCTTTAAAGATCTTGTGCTGAAGTATTTGAAAACTGCTCTGATTAAATACAGTAATAAGACTTATGATGAATGTGACTAGAAAATAAATTTACTACCGTATGATGTTTTCTACCGACTGAACAACAACGAAAAAATTTCACTAGTAACCTTGCATCTGTTTAGAACTTACACATAGACGTAATTCTATAAAATTTTATGTGTGACCGTGCCATATAACATCTTGAAACTTTAGCAAATACGAAATACTGTTCGGAACAAATCTATTCGTATGTCACGCTATACGGTGATTTTAAGAGCTGAAAATTTCTTTTATAGAATTTTGGAATCTGCTTTTATATTGAAGAAGATATCATATGGCTTTCTTACTCATTAATTTTCTCACGCATATTTCGTTCAACTGTAATATTCGCCAATATAATATAAATAAATTTTGAATATCGATTGTGAAAGCTGCTAGATGGATGTTACCACCTTTCTATTGTTGGGGACTTATAAATTGAATTTTCCGTGGTCATAACAGTATGATATAGTCGTCATGAATTTATCAATTTGCTTCGTAGCTATCCCTCATCAGAAGCGTTTTAGTGATACATCAAATCCTAGCTATTCAAACTCGTAAGGTTTTGTATGGTAGCATGAGTGGACTTTGAATGAATGTTCTAACAACTACAACGTGTCATTAACAGTTCCAAAATAATTACAAAGACCTTTTACAAATTTCATCGGAATTCGACAGCCATACAAATACAAACATCAGCTCCGACAACCGGATCTCATCGAAATTTGATGATGATCCCACAGTCGGATTCCAATGCGATTCCGTCACCAAGAATCCTATAGGATCCAACATCGGATTTATGCATCTGGATGCAATACCAGAAAAAAAAGCATCGGTCGGTGGCGGCGAAACAGTATTTGCGAAGAAAGGTCGATTTGTTGGCTACCTATATAATCGATTTTTTCGGCTGAGAAGATAGAGGTTGATATTCTCTACAAACTTATGTAGTTGCCGAAGAGACACGGATAAGGAGTGAAAGAGCAGGACGCCTCCAATACCAGAAAGAAAGTCATTGGTTGGTGGCGGGGAAACAGTATATGCTAGAAAAGGTCGATTTGTTGGCCACGTATATAATCGATTTTTTCGATCGAAAAGATTGAGCTTGAAATTCTCTAGAAACGTATGTGTTTGTGGAAGAGTGACGGATAAATAGAGAAATGAGAGAAGCTGTCCTATAGTATTGAGAATTGATTGTTCCATGCGTAGGAGATAAAATCCGTGGAAAAGGCATATTTACGCATTCAAAAACCCGGTCTTTATCGTGTTTGCAAGATTGAAAAACGCACATTTGAGCGCAGTAAGAACACGTTTTTTATCGATTCTGTCTGCGTGTGACGGATCGGAAACAGTATCCTCTGGAAAAGCTCAACTTCTGGGATATGTCTGCAGCGTGTACACAAAGTGATGGGAGTTAGAAAAATTTTAGTATGGACATTTTGTTTTGACTGGACTGGCTCTTATGTGAACGGATGATAGAGGCCTATGCGGATTCTATGTTCACACTAGAATAGAAGTGAGAATTGTGGTCAGATGTAGCCGTGGAAGTTGATGAGAAAATTTTTCCTTCTTAGAAAGCTGTAAAACAATATGGTAAACGAAGCTTTGCAGGAACCTTGTTGGTATCGTTTTGTAATGTCGACATACCGGTGCCGTTGGTAAACATATCAAATGGTTTGATCGAGCCTTGTTGTAATTATTCAATTTTCGTTTCGGTAGTATAACGTTTTTCACTATCCTGTAGATTTTTTTCTGTACTTGTGAAAAAGTAAAGTTTTGCTATTGAGGTCGATAGCGATAGTTAACCAGGGTTTTCACTGACCTTATCATTATGCATTTGGAATGGGAATGTCTCTCTCATTGTTTTAAAAATGAGCGCATTTGGTTGAGGTGTATTGGAAATATTGAATTTTTTTTTGCTCTAGTGACTTTCTGGATATCTTATGTAAGAAAATAACTTTGTCACTTTAAGGGGGGGAGGGGGCCATCCCTCAGAAACGAACTTTGTTATTTTCGCATTTGATTTCAACGAAAATTTCAGAGAATGTTAGTCTTGGCTAGAATAGTTTACGGTTAAAATATCTCCCCCAAATCTCAAAGAAATGCACAAGTTCCAGTCAATTCATTATCTCTTACGCGGGCAAGAATTTCTCAATGGGATAACTATGTAATCATGTCGGGCTGGTTTTTAAATTGTAGAGTGACCATAGGGCTAGGTCGTAATAGAGTCCGATTTTGGAATTTCCCTTTGTTTGATTTTTAAAAAATACTTTTTCGACAAATGTCCAAATTCTAGGCGCTCATAAATATACAACAAAAAAAAATTATCCTTTCTCTATTGAGTCGTTATGAAGAAAAACCTGCCCGGGTAAATAGTGTGCTCAAAAAAGCTGATTTTGAGAAAAACGCTAAATAAGTTTTAGAAATCGATTTTTGCGAAATACACGCAAATTATACATCAATGTTTCGGACAACCTACAAATATCTAATCTTTATCTAAAGTATTAGTAGGCTCTTAATGATTAATATAAAAAACCTTTATTCAACGCTGATGTCAATGGAAAGGCATTCTTTCAAAAATTGAAAAACTTTTAAAAAAGCCGCGAACATTTTTCGAAAAAAATGATAGTAGAGCCCAAATTTCGGCCGATAAGTCCGTCAAAATCTATTTGTTTTGAGAAAAACTATATATATTCTGAAAGAGGAGATCACGGTGTATCTTCCTATGATAAAAAATCGACTTTGACTTTTCTTAGGAAAATTAGGTTTTCTGAGGGGGGGGGGGGACCCCCTTAACAGATATAAATGACTGTTTTGGTAAAAATAAACCTTTACAACAATGGTAACTGTTTGGTCAAGTATTCATTCACATAATTCTTTAACGCTATACATGTGCAACATGAGCTTATACACGAGGGAGATGGAAGAAAAGAAAGAAAATACATGTTACTATACTAGACAACGAATGAAAGGAAAGAAATGGTAGAAAGTTACACATTACACGGCTAGCGCAACAGTTGTTGTTCAGAAGAACGTTCTCTGATTGTTGTACCTTCTGTTGGATCCATGGTCTTAAGTTGGTAAAGTAACCTTGTGCGTAATTAATTAGGCGATTGTTTCTTCGTAAGACAAAGATTGTGTTTGAGAGATTATTAATAAGAAAATACAAAAAAAACATATGAAAAACTGAAGTATTTTCAAGTAGAATTTTGCGGTATTTTACACATACTATACACTTATGCAGACGAGAAGAATAAATAATACAAGAAAAATTGAACATGTTTTACCTTAAACAGAAAATGAGTTATAGAAAAATCTGCTTCATTTTTTAATGATATTTCTAGGTTGTACTTAATGATATCGTCTCAATTTAAGAAATATAATAGCAATAATAAGTGCTGCCAATGCACTAGAAAGATATGTATAAGCTTTCCATTTCATTGGTTTATCCCATTGCCAACCCCATCCACCATATGACTTTGAATGTGGAAAATGATAACATGGATAAGCTTTATTTATCTAAGAATTGTTTTGAAAAGACTGAATTAGATGATAAATTCGAGGTTTGAATATTACTTTATATTTTCGTACAAAAAAACCATGCAAGACTTTCTGGTGAGAAGTTACTTGATGAAATAATAACATCATTATTTGATTGATTATTGTACAACACTGTTATATTCCATTGTAGACGATAATTACCTTGAAGTTTTTTAAGATCAATTGATGTAACTTGACACTGACCAGTAATAAAACCATGTGATTTATGAAATTGTTCTGCATCAAATAAAAAAAGAATTAAACTACCAAGAAAGAAAAAAGCAATAGGGATTCCAATAATCGAATGTTTTTTAGCTATGAATTGTTCGGATTTTGAACAATATAAGAACAATAATATCGTGCGTGGAGAGAATTCTTCTATACAAATAAACGAATAACACTAACAGCGTATGTTTTGTAACCCCATGCAAAGAAAAAGAAAAGAATAAACGTTGAACAGACACGAACAACGAATAAATATAAGATGCGTATTTTTTCCTTTCTGTTCAAATTAAAGAATGTATCGTAAAAGTTGAAGAGTAAACATTTCAAATCAATCACAAGCGAATGAATATAGCCTACAGGATAGTTTTCCCCTCATGCACAGAAAATTATTATTAGAAATATTCAAATATAGAATTTTATATTAAATTGTGGTAATCAAAATCGAATTTCTATTGGAAGATCGACAATTGATTTACTACTAACTTTATCTACTAAACATGTTCCATCACTTTTCCTTTCAATTGGCTCAAAAGCTACTGCTCACGAAGGAACCGCCCGAGATATCTAACGCCGATTTCCTTCATTCATACGTCGTTTGATAGAGGTCATCGAGACAGTAGAAAGTCTAAAAGGATTTCGGCTGACGGCTCTCTCTCTTCAAAATGAATGGCCGTTTTACTGAATTTTCCATCCGTTTCTAGACGAGTGTCCCTTTCTTTGGATATTCAGTTTTCCAGGGAGTTCGGTTTTTGTGATATATCTGTGGCAAGCGACTATTTTTCAAAAAATTAATATCCCAAGAAAGAGACACTCGTTTTGACTGAAACTTACAGGATATTCTAAGGGATATTAGACCTATCTATGGGCGAAATTTCAGGTCGAAACTCCGTAATTTGATTTTTCGATAAATATCTAGAAATGGATGGAAAATTCAGTAAAACGGCCATTCATTTTGAAGAGAAAACCGTCAGCCGAAATCCTTTTAAACTTTCTACTATCTCGATGACCTCTATCAAACGATGTATGAATGAAGGAAATCGGCGTTGAACACCTCGGGCGGTTCCCTCGTCAGAGGAAATGTCATTAGAAGATATAAATTCCGTTGTATATTATTCTTTCATTAAAAATAAAGTAGGAAGGAATATCGAATAATAGTAATGTAACAAATATTTCACTACTCTGCCCAAATATAGAATTCAATTTATTTTTATCTAATCAATTAATTCCAATTTCTTAACACTTATTTATGATATATGACTTCTAGCGAAAAAACTCCGCAAAATTCTCTTGATAATTATGGTGTTCTCATTATATTATTATTTAATTTAATCGATTTAACAAATGATTTGTCAATGACAATGAGTTAAATTAGAAATGGTTATGTTCTATTATTTAGTAAAAGTATCTGTCTTCTTGAACTACATGCTCGTAAATACATCTTGCCTATTCCCCAATATGTAAAAAATGGAGAAAGATATCTCAGTATCTGTCTGAGTGAGTATTCGGATGGAACTGAACCAGATTTCGATCTTCTCTCAGATTCTGGACAAACTAATCAATATATCAGATGAAAAGGTGGTGTTATTACTAGTCAAACTGATACTGCTGTTCCACTTCTCTGGCGACGACCTACTTTCAAGATGAAACTCGTTATGATCTTGATCAAAAAGTATCACCCACAGAAAATTGTAGCTGTTGTGCGAAATTTTGTAAATGGGCGTGTAAAGATGGTTGGATCTTATCAAGAAGCAAATGAAGAATGGTTTACCATCTATAAATTAAAGAGTCCAGATGGAAAAATAAATTTTGACCTTTTTTATGATCTTGTCGATACATCAATAAAATGATTGATTTAACAACTACTAAAATCATAATTGACCATAACTGAAAACAATTTACCATCGATTTGATAAATAGGATATAATCAATCTCTCATTAATTCTTTCTATTTTTTGATCATTGATATGTGAGAATATATTGGTATTACCATTGATACATATGAGTTACCATAGATAAGAAAAATGATTTGTTATTTGTAGATAAAAAGAAAAGAATAAAAGTATACATTTTTTAGATGGATTATTATAAAAGAAAAGAATTTATTGCTCGATCTGTCTTATTCTTGATAATATAAATTCATTTTCCTGAAAACGTTTTTTAAAATGAATATGCGATCAATTCTACGTTTATCTATTATTCTATAAGATATAATTAATCCAATAATGAATAAATCTTCACACATATTCGATTTGAAAATCGTATTCTCGAAGAATTTATTTGTTTATAAAATGTTCCATTATTATCATCAATAGTAAAATCATATAAAAATGTCAAACCACTGAAAGATTATACAATATTAAATATTCAACATGAATTAGGTGATGTAAGTGCACAACTAGAAGGTTTGATAGTTCTTGGTGCATTACCAAATAATTTCTACTTTCTTCCTTCATCTTATTCACATAATAAACAATTTCAATTATTTTTAATAAAACATTTTCAAATTCCAAAAGGAAAATTTTTTCAATTCCCATCCTATCGTTTATTATATGTTATATTTAATTTAAATCAAATGATTCAAATGGAATTACTAAAAAAACAAGAAAAACCTAATAATCTTCTTGTATTAGATGATGGAGGTTGTTTTTATGAAGCTTTAACCATTTTATTTGCTATTAATGATAATTTAATCGAACCAAATAAATTATTTGATAATCTTCCATTATCATTAAGAATTTTTAAATTTGATATAAAATTAATTTTATCATATTTAGATTCAATTGAAATTCGTCTTGTTGAACAAACATCACGTGGTTTATTTAAATATATTGATCAACCAAAAATCTCCATTGCATTAAAAAAAACTTGAAATATCAATGATTGATGTTGCTTCTAGTCAACCAAAAAAACATTTCGAAACTTCAATTATTGCTGAAGCATTTCTTAATATGTTATCTTATTTATTTTATGATGCAAAATCTCATTTAACAAATCGTAAACCATCGAAATTTGATAAATGTTTATTAGTTGGATATGGAGCTATTGGAGAAGCTGTTGCTTATGCATTAATACATAAGGGAGATTTAGGATTATTTTTAAAAGATTTACTTTATATTTGAGATAGAGATTTGATTAAAAGAAAATTAGGTGAGAAAGATGGATTTCAAATATTTAATCAATTAAATAATAAAGATAAAATTTAATTATATAATTGGTTGTGCTGGTCGTTATTCATTACCAATATTATCTTTATCTTTATTATGTAATAATTCTTATTTAATTAGTGTTTGATCTGCAGCTATTCAATTTTCATTTCATAATATCATTCAATATGCTTTATCTAAGACTTAAAATAAAAATTTAGAAATTTGTTTATCGAATGATGAATTAAATCATTTAGATGATGAAAATATTCATCGAAATATTTGCTAAAATAAAAAAAATCTTGTTATTTTATTTGGAAAGAAAATTTTAGGTTCCAAGTGCATTTGTTTTTAATTAATTAAAATAAATTTTCTTTCTATATTAAGTGTAAAGGTTTCTAATTCTCCAAAACCTAATTCTTTATTTTCTGCCAAATCAACAAATCGAAAAATCCGACGAAATTCTCCATGAAAAATGATATTGATGTTTTTTTTTAACAATTTCAAAAAAATCATTTAAATGAAGAAGAATATTTTCTCAAGTATTTTATTTAGATTTTCCATGAAAGATACATGATTGTCTACATAGATTATAATGATAAAATAAAGATTATTTCATCACATTTGTGATGAATACTATGATTGTTGATTATATCTAGGAAATATAATTTGAATATTGTTACAATCAAATACTTGATCATGACCAGCTGCGATCAGTTTGTCATTAAATATGGTTTTTATTTGATGTTTAATTGGATAAATCCCATCTTTATTTATTACTAAATGTACCAATTGATCAAATCGACGAATAATATTCAAAGTAAATTCAATGAGATAATCATCAAAGATGATAATTGCTCGACTTGTCTCGAGACACATAGTTGAGATGTTAATTGAGTTAATCGATCAATATGAAAATGTTGTTTAGATTGAGGATATAATCGAGCTAATACAAGATGAACATGCCTTAGATTTGAATAGCTTCGTGAACAATGACGAAAATCGTTCCATTCCACTAGAAGATGAGAAATATTCCTTGATACATCTAGGACTTGTTTGACTATGGCAACACGTTGAAATTTTTCAATTGATTCCGATTTAATATGAAATTTTATCGATCGTAGATGATCAAGCCAAAAGTTGCAGTCGGAATGGAAAGTTGATTTTATTGTCGATATATATGTCTAGAAAGCGTATATTTTAATTTATAATAAAATCAAATTTTTAACAAAGTATACAGTGTGTTATAAAAGTCCCTTCCCAACAGTTTTCTCGAATATCTTTCCTATTTCATTTAAATTTATAATTTGTAAAAGTATCATTTTTGACCGAAATACAAACATTTTCATTACTTTGGATTTTCAGAAAACTCAAGTATTTTTCTGTAAATTTTGCATCAAAGAAAAGTTTGTAGAACTCGACATGCTCTATCCGCCCATATGAAAATATCAAAGAAAAAAACTTAGTTGATTTTTCTAATTCCTAATATTCCACAACGGAAGCTAAATTTTTGTATTTCAATCAAAAGTGATACTTTTACAAATTAATATGAAAGGTGACTCTGATAAAACCAAACTTCATATCTTCACCTTTAATTTAACAAAAATATTTCTCGATAAAGTTAAATGAAATAGGAAAGATATAGGAGAAAACGTTTGGGATATACTGTAGTACAGATGGAGTATCGTATGGAATCAATTCTATTATATACTAAAAATGAATTTGTAACTTTAGAATTCAATTTTCTTCCTTCCTATTTATTGTCTATATATTCTAATGATGTTCTACAAAGATCTTTGATTATAAAACAAAATCGAAATAAAATATAGCTCTCCAATCTTATGTGATGATCGTACACTTTTGTAAATCATCATCCCAATCAAGACATTCGATATCTTAAAACAGAACAGAATACATTTTCACTTCTATTCTCAATGATATTTTAATAAAACATTCTGTGTAAGTAAACATTTGATATCCACTCAAACTTTGTTGACATTTGAATAGAAAGAATTATTAATTGATTTCTTTCGAATGACTTACTTGTTCATCAAAATAGATTAAATGAAGTTCATTGATACGACCACTTGCAAGTACTCGTAGAATTTCACTTATTTGATTAGATTCAGATTTTTGATCGGTGGACTATTGGGTCAATTGTCTTCGAGTTGTAAACATAGATTTAGATACATGTGTCATTAAACGATGATTGTGGAAAATTTGTCTGTGACGAATGAGAAAGTCTATTGAATGATTGTAAATAATAAAAATGTTCTGTGTAATAGAAGTGTATTTAGCTTTAACATAATTATAACTCTCATCGATATAACTATCCACATTGTCAAAAGGCCATTTATCCTTCCAATTGAATAAACTCATTCGCCATGCAACTTCGATTTGTTGAGGAAAGCAAAATGAAAAGTGAAGATTTTTCAGAGCAGGTAAACGTTTAGAACTACAAAGTTCTTGAAATTTCCCAAGATAATCTAATGCTACAAGAAAGAATAAGAGATTGTATTATACATTCAACTTCGTTCGCATTAATGAACAAAGAATACTAACAATATTGAAAACTATTTTCGGTGAAAAATCAGTCCTTTCAAAGAAGTCTACTCTCATTATCTTCTCATAGAAAAACATTTCGACATTTAAGAATGTTCTCTCGTTAATCAATGATATCAAACGAAACTGAATGATTGATGGAATAATAACTTACTATGATCATAGATATCAACAAGTATCAAAGTTTCAAACACAGGCATCGATAACGAATCAATTGATGTAATAACATCAGTAAGATTTATATAACGTAAGAGTAAATATCTCAGATGAATACCATCAATTCGTTCACGTCGTAGATACACATCATTTTATTGAATATTTAGTATTCATTTATCATTACTTATTGGTAAAACAATATGTAAATCTTCATTAGTAACTTCCAGATGTTTAAATGAAGGCAAACTATTATGTTGCAACAAAAGTTCAACTTCACTTGCATGTTGAATACTTAATGTTAGTTTAACTGTATTTGGCCAACAAAGTGATGGAATATTGTGTAAACCCTTTATAAAATCGTTTAGATTATATTTATGACCTATCAATAAAAAACAATGATAATATTAACAAAACAGTCAGACTAATAACTTTAATTTAACTATATGCTAGATTATATTATATTGACTGTATCTTACATGATAACAATATAAAAATAAAAAATATAATCATAGAGATAACATCTAGAGATCTTTATGAGTGATCACACAATATCTTCTATGTTAATTTACTAGTAGTTATGAAAGAGGATATAATGTGTTAGGAGACAACTGAATTTACAGCTATCTACAATCGTATACAGTAAAACTTCTCTAAGATAGACATCTCTTATAGAACATTTTAAAGATGTTCATTATAAAAAAAGATTTTATCTCATCTGATCATATGAGTTACTTGGATGTTTAGGATCAGTGGAATATTTATTGGCTCTGTTCAATCTTATCACTGAATGACTTTACTAAGTGACGACGAAATCGTCGTAATCTCTGTAATGAAAGATATTAGTGATATAGATTTTAACAAATTCTATTGATTCAATAATTTTCTTCTTAATAAACTATAATAGAACCATTTTTATTATCTTGACCTCACTCTACAATAGAAGACCCTAAATATATTTTTGGCTCAAGCATCTCAATTCATTTTCTCATGTAAACGCAATCATTAATTTTCCAACTTTTCGAAAGATAGGTCGATTCGACTTTCTAAAAAAGATAACTGAGGTAAACAGACTTTCTATTAAAATTCAATTCTTATTGTGTTATTCCTATTAATCCAAAAACTGTCTGCTTACCGCAGTCAATAAAATCAATCTATTTTTATCTTTTAAATTCATTGCTTTTTTTCAACTAGTTCTTGGGCACGATCTACAGAAGAAACATTTCCTTTGTTTTAAAGATTCTTACCAGTTGATCAGACGTTTGTCTAGATTAAAATTTTAAAAAAAAATGTTAAGTTTATTTGATTCTGATTCATATCTTTATCGAGTTAATTGGCAAACTCTCAGTAAAAGAAAATCATTGAAATTTTCGAAATTCATCCTTGCAATTGGATGATGTCTTCAAACAAATTTAAATAAAATAAAAAATTTAGTTAAACTCTTTGAGCCAACGGCTTTGACTATTTATGATAAGGTATCAACAGAGATTCTATTTATCTACACCTCAACAAGACATTTAGAACTTAACTCAGAAATCTATATTAATTGCTTATAACAAATCAAGAGAACCTGAATCGAAGGGCAATTTTCTTAAAACGTTGACAGAACACTTCTACAGGCGTTAACCAAGTGAATATCAATGCAATATCTTAAAACAGAGGTGTGGGTGTAGATTCAGAGAAGACCCATATCTACACCCTCTATTTGCTGATCAATCAGATCTGAGCATACTTTCATGGTCAGGAATATTCTTTTGGCCAAGTTTTCAACGAAGATGTTTCAAAACGACGATAACGTTTTGCAAAGAAGCTTTTTTAACTCCAAACTAATGTAGAAATGGTTCAAATAGAGATAGGCAAAATGGTGCCGTTCCGGTCCCGAAACCCCGAGATGGAACCAAAATTTTTTTTAGCCGGGATCGAGACCTAAATTTTTTCATCAGAACCGCAACCAACATTTTTTTTTAGAAATAATAATTTTTACGGTTGTGCAAGACTTTTGTTGAATGTCATATTGTCATAACTCATGTCTCATAAATATTCTTCTAAAACACTACAAAAATCATTGAGTAGAGAGAGGCAAAGTGATTGCGACTGGGATCAAAATCTTTTTTTGGTCGGAACCAAGATCGATAAAAGTTGCTTCCGCTCATGTCTCACTGCAAAGCATTCACGCAAGGGATTTACCAGAATGATAATATTAAAATACCACAACAAAAACAAAAGTTGAAAAGGGAAAGAGATTCGAGCACATTTTACAACATCTAAGATAGATAACTTATAGGAAACTATCAGATCATCATTTTCCAATATGTCAAGCTTGCAATATTGAATTTTTCTGGACAATGCCGGGTACTTTAGCTAGTACTAGATAAAAACAGAAGAATCCACCGACATATGACGAACCAATATCAAAACCATAATACATACAAAAGCAAAAATATAAACAAAACAAGTTACACCATTCGATGTTCACTATTAGATTAATAATTTTCGTTCGATCTTAGAATTCCACATCATCATTTAGATCTTGACAAACTAAGACTAACTGTCATTTAATGATATCTATTATTCTTTACTCCTTGGTAAAGTTCTCTATAGACACATAATTCGTTTGTAATTTTGCTTCTGGAAGATCATTCAAAACAAATACAACACAGTCAAAACCAACTGACATTCGTCCCTCTCGGAGATCTTAGTAAATAGATATGAAATTGTAGCAATTATGGTAGTTAGTCTCACCCACCCACCCTCAAGCTCTTCTCATGTAGAGTTGGATCAGTCTCTAGTAGACTCCTGGTGTCATCACTACTATAGTATATATTACTTTGTAAAATTTCATAAAATGGCCTATCTGATAGTAGTCATGTATTGATGAAAAATAGGATACAAGATATACACTCATAATGTAAAAGAATTTATTGAATTCGAAAGAAAAACGTAGAACAAATTTCTTAATATTGTATAATGTTAAAGCCGTATTAAGAAAAGATATTAATATGTATGGATCTAATATCTAAGGAATTGTTTTATTATTAAAATAATAGTTTAATTTCTTTGTTTGTTAAAGATAATAAATATTTTAAAGAATTGAATCATCTATGTTTATTGGTGACGAGATATTAAGTTTGATTTAAATGATTAGGCTTCGCTATTCATTGAATTTTCTGCATCTAATGACGAATCAGGTATTGGAAGAAATTCTACTGTATTACTTTCACCATTTATTACATTCTCTTCTTCTCGTGCATTATTATCTGCACTCTTCGTATTTCTACGTCTTATTGAATAAAGATTAACATTTTCTGAATCTGCATCATTATTTTCATCATCAGAATAATCATCAATATCAATTTGTTCTTCATTAATAAATAATGTTCGAGCATAAATACGTTGATATCGATCAACAAGAACAGAAACAAGCATACCAATTGTCGCAGCACCAACTAATCCACATAAACAGGATATTATTCGACCAATTGGTGTTATTGGGGTAATATCACCATATCTAATATAAGAAGATTTTAATAATAAATAATATACATATTTTAAAAACTTACCCAACACTTGTTATTGTAATAGTTCCCCAATAAGCTGCTTTAAATATTGAATCAAATGCTTGACTATTTGCATGATTTTCAACATAATAAGCAACAGTACCGAAAAGAAAACCAAATACACTTAAAATAATAGTCATTATTAAAAAATCAAGTAATGATTCTGTTATTGCTGTTGAAAGCACACGAAAAGATTTCATACTTTTAAATACTCGATAAAATTTAAAAATACGTGCAACACGAAGTATAGTTAAAAATCTAAGATTAACATAAATACGTGAATTCATTCCACTATGTCGACTAACTAAACGAATAGCAAGTGTAATAAAAAAAGGTATTATAGCCATTAAATCAATCCAATTCATTAGACTTTTTATAAAATTAAGTAATGATGGTGTACTTAATATACGAACCAAAAATTCAATTGTAAAAAATCCAATACAAATAGCTTGAATAATAAAGAAAGGTGATGCAAAATATGAAGGACAAACATACGATGGTTGAGTTGAATTTTGATTTTCTCCATTATTAACATAAGAAGTAGTTGTCAGTGTTATATTATGATCCTTTTCACAATTTAAATCATCTAAATCAGCATATTGTGGTAATGTTTCAATTGAAAGAGTAATAGTTGATATAATAATTATAGCCAATGATACAATATTAACAATTTTTGCTATTTTTGAATAGTGAGGATATTCCATTGTTATCCATAAATATCTTCGAATAGGATGTTTTGGTAAAAGGACTTTTTTAATTTCTTTTATATTTTCATCTTTACGTATTTGATTAAGTGCTTGTTCCCCTAATTGAAAAAAAGTAACTTCTTCAATAAATATATCAAGTGGAATATATTCAGGTCGTCTTAAACGACCATGTGATTGATAATAATAAAGTATTGCTTCAAAACATCCACGATGACGATCAAAAAAATATTCTTTACGAGTTTTATCATAATAATATTTACGTCGTTTCTCATTTCCGAGTAATGTATCTGGATAAAGTTCAAGTGTTGTTCGCCATGTTTCATAACGCTGACCACATACATTTATTATAATACGATCATTTTTATTTTTTTCTTGTTGTTTTTGGAAATCCGTTGATCGAGTATTAAAATTATGAACATTAATAACGTCATCATCACTATTGATATATACATATATATCAATATAGAAATAACTCATATATAGATATGAGTCAATTGCGCTGGTATTGTACGATTTGACGAAAAAAAGTCGAAAAAAATAAAAGTAACTATGAAGAAAATTTTAGCCATACATTCGATAGAGCTTCATTGGTTTTAGATAAATGAAATATTTTTTCTCAACTGTCACTTTCGTTTCGAAAAAAATCCAGTTTCATAATAAAGATTGCTTGACAAAATACTCATCACTTGAAATAACTATTTATACATTGTTATTGTATATCAATCGAAAGATTTTCAAAAGCAGAATCTAATGAGAATATACAGTATTTTACTCATACATATGCATACATATCTTAAGTGTGCAAGGTTGCGGTGAAACTCTCATATGCTCACCCCTCCCCCTCTCCCTTCGTTCCTAAGAGAACCCTCAAATCTGTCAGTGACCCAAAGTAAACAGAATATTCAGTAAATGTCTGAAAACGTATTACAGCCTGAGAACAGTCGATCGAAGGCAAAGAAGGTAAAATAAAACTCTGTTTTCTCTAAATATCAATCATTTTAATCTGTTGTGACATTTTTTTGTTTTGAGTAAAATCCTGCTTTCTCGTGAATAATACTTATTTAAGAGCTGATATTTTGACTACACTTCTACCATACGGTCAGCTAAAAAAGATAAAAATATCACTGGCTAATCTTTTATAGTTATCGAGAAATCAAAGAAACAAAATAAAAAAAATCTCTCGTGACATTCAGTAAAAAAATAGCTATGCTTCCCTCTTATTTTTAGTTTTTTTTTATTTGATGCAGAAGTTCCTTAGAAAAAAAAATGTTTTTATCAAAATATTTCGCGTTCTTTAGTTTATTGAATAGAAAAAGAAAATCTGAGTTTGTTTTTAAATCGGCTTTGGTAACTTCAATTTAATCAGTTATGATATAAAATGGTCAAAATGTATGTTTAGGTAGTTTGTGAAAGATTTGATGGGTAAATCGTAAGTGAAGGTGGCATCTATTTATATGGTCAGAAAGAGGAAAGCCTTATCTAAAAAATAGTGATTTTCATCGGTACATGGTGCCAAAAAATGGTGGCAGTAGTCAAAAGACTTGCTTGTTTCATGATAAGTAGGGTAGATACTAAGAAATATTTCTAGAAAAATTTCTCCAAATCCATTAAGTAGAAGTTGAGATATAAGTGTTTCCGTATTCGGAACGTAACTGTACAATATCAGCGCAATTGACCGGTATATATGTATTGGTTAGAATAATAGACTATTAAAAACGTTTTTGTTCTTTTTAGATAATTATTCAAGAGCTTAAAAGTATAAGCAGAGAATTGTGAAACATACGCATCATTATGAATTGTACTCCAATCTATAGTATTGACTGCCGGTGAGTCTCTTTAAATAAATAAATAATTTAAAAATGAACTTATATTTTATTTTCATACTCATATAAAGATTCTAAACGTCGTGCTTG